ATCTCCCCTTGGTAAATTTTGGCTAAAACAACCAAAGATCAAATAATCTGGGAATATGAATAAAACCACAACACAAGATACATATTGATCATGTATACTTTATAGAACACAACTCAGAAGCTTGTACAATCAGAAAAGTTAGCATTCCCCGTGCCACACATAATAGGTTCTCCACCTTAAGGGAAAAATCCACACCAGAGCACCTGCAGCATAACAACAGAGACAACAATAGCAGCTTCAGCACCCACAAGCATGCTCCCCCGTAATGATTGCATGAGAAACCATACACACAGCTACTCTCATAGAAGCAGTAGCACACAGTCCTATCATAATGCTAAATCAACATGTCAATACATGTGATGTAATATCAGGATACAACACTTTACTTTCCCTTTTTAGCCAAAATATTGACAAAAGGATACAGAGTAAATATACACAACTAGTGGAAACACGTAGAGCTTTGGAACATATTACACCTAGAAAATACAACACAAGGAAGCAAAAATCACATATGGAACCACGCAAGTCAAACACAAGTCACATGTCAAACATGTAGACTTTGTACATGAGGAAGAAGATAAATGTTTCTCCTCCTCAAACACAATCCCAATTTATCACCCTTGTACTTCCTAGGTGAATACTGACAGGACCAGACCTTAATTCGGCATAACTCATAGCACAAGACATAATCGTGCTCTTAACTCAAATCACAAGACACAACAGAAAGACTCAGAACAAGAAAGACAAAGACTCATATAGGATGGTAGAACATCCTATGAAACATCCTTCCAAAACAACTGCAAGAACAAACTCAAGACTCACGTGATGGACTGTCATGATCCCCCTAAAGTGTTGCATAAAACAAGCAACAACACTTGTCCTAAACTATACTTATGATTTAATACAAAATAACCTGACACGGAGAATCAATACATGCAAGAATTGATTCAAGACACAAAAAGAAAAACCAAAAGAAACTGACTCAATAAAAACACAAATTGTATCAAGGGAAAAGAACTTCCTCAACCAGGATTGAAAAGAAAAACCCACAGAAACAAAGAGTAAGTCTAAGTTTCTCCAAAAAAAAACTTGATGTGGGACTAGAAGCATCAAATTGCCTTAAGGGAAAATAACTCCCCCAAACAAGAAAAGAAAGAAAAAACATACCTTTTTTGTTTTTGTTTTTTTTAATATATACAAGATAGAAGTCACCAGCTATCCAATTCTCCCTCCTGGGTCAATGAAGTTGACCCAGTCTTCATCAGCATCTGAATCTGAATCATGTAAATAAATTTGATTCTTCCCCAAGGATTTCATCTCTGTCACAGATGTTCTCCCTGTCTAGGAAGCTCCAATTGATGTTCCAACATTTGTTGCAATGTTGAACCCAACCTTCTTTTGATCACTGCCCTTATCCTCGTTGGATTCCAGCAACTGAACCTTCTTGACACCAGTATCTTCGGAAGATTTACTCATAATGAAACACAATATAGGGGAAACCTGAGGAGGCAGAGCATATAAATACAAGGTGAGTTACTTTGATCGTAACGAAAACCTTGTTTGTAATGATAAATCAATCAATGAAAGAGTTATTGGAAGGAGATAAAATATTCTTTAGTAATAGGGTACCACTCAATAAGAGAGAGACACACTTTGTTCAAACTTTTCTCTTTTCAATACTTTGACTGCTAAAACTGTTACAACACTTGAAACGACATTCTCTATGTTATTGAAAATGCTTCTTCTGAGATTGCACACAATACAAGGAGGAGTATAGTTGGCAACACCTACAAAAAATTATCCCTCAGTACAATTACAAAAATACCCCTTGCATACTTAAAATAACTTGCACCTCAAGTTACGACAAAATCCTTCCCAAGGCTCCTTAGCCAGACCAAGCTTGGGAGTGCCAATATTCTGTAGCAGAATCCCTAACATAATAATGACAGACCCAATGAATTTGTTTTGCAAGCAGAATAGTATCTTTGTACCTTAATTGCTGTAGAATATTACACTACAATATCCTGACATTCGGTTTAGACACCGTATTCTTTTAGTGACCAATCCAATATAAAAAACATCTTTCTTCAACAATGTACCTAATCTTCAAGAAATACTAGGACTCAATTGATTCTAATCTCAGAGATCAGAATATCCTCCAATGATACAATCTTCTTCAGACTTGGCCAAATTTCTTACTCCAAGCATCACCATCATTATCTACTTCATTTATGAAACAACTAATGATCATTGACTAAAATAACATTCAAACAATGAGCTCCCTCCTAAACAATTTGTTTTTCTTGAGAATTTCTTATTTAGTGTCAGCTAGCCTTTTGAAACCTTCTTCAATCTCTAGAGTATCAAACTGTTGAAATGATTTTCCAATATCTGGTTGAATATCAGTACCTTTCAATGAACACATAACTGATTTCGGTCCTGAAAACATCACCAAAAGTACCTCTCCTAATAGAATAACTCAGAAACATACATTATTCTCATAAAAGTAATAGATAAGACTCTTTGAAGACTTTACCGATAATAGATTCAAAAAATAAAAACCATATATATCCTTCTATCCACGAGGACCTTCACCTTGCATTGAACCAATCTGATCCATAGAAAAGTTTCTAAAGCTTTTGAAATTGTCTGATGTTGCACCTTCAAGTGTGACATCTTGACTTCTTCTTTCTTGAACACCAAGTAAAAGGATAAACAACTAAATACTTGTGAGATTCCACAAATATCAATTGTTCATAAATCCTCAGAGGAACTTCATATACCGAATTAGTGATAGAACATTCTTCTTTGATGGCATATACCTTCAGACTTTGATAACTCAGTCATCAGTAGTTAAGTAAGAAAAAAATAATTACCAAAGCTTAGAGATCTATCCTGAATTCTTTAGTAATCCAATGTCCTTAAACTTCCTTTTTAGCATCATCCACAAAGTAGCATTTGATTAGAATGAGACTTAAACAAACCACCTGAAACACTTTTAATGCAGATAAGTGTCGGAACAATTAGTGTCAAAATACCAATCATATTAGTTAGAGACCTAAGAAAGGTATGAGAGATAAGAAAATAATCACATTCTCTGAATATTAACCACTGCTTGGTTAAACAACACTGAATTTTGACCTTTGAGAAAATAAGCAAAACTATTAAAATCAACTCAACACAGAAGAGATATCTTCAATGCAAGTAAATCCCTTTTAGCATGAGTAAACAGAATGTCCACCATAATGTTATGATATCCTTGACTCAGCTTGCCTTTTGATCGAAATAGCCTTTTATCACTTTGAGTTTTCTCTTTGCTAATTAGCTTAGAATAAAATGTATCCTCCTTTAACTTCTAATCATCTTCCCTCTTAAAGAAATTCTTCCAACTGATCTGGATTATCCTAACAAACTCGATCAAGACATCAAGCTCTAGGATTAAATAGAGTTATTTCACCTTGCAAAAATATATATAATAGATACTTCTTCATTCTCTTAAGACATAAGATCAAAAATAAATTAGCTCTTATTTCTTCATTGTTGAGAACTCCCTTCATTCTAGATACAAATCATAGAAACAAACTTCCATCTCATTATGAGATAAATCTTCAGTTCATAAATCTTCATAAGAAGTTCATCTTCCAGTCAAACCAATAATATCCTTAGAAATTATAATCAGGATCCCTTTCCTAATTAAGCCAAGCGTAGAAAATCTGCACAATTGTCCTTGAGATAAGCACTCCATTCTACTTCACAAAGATCCAAGATCTCCACATCCATATGAATGCTTTGATATTGTTAGATCTTTACTCCAGTTCCAGCATTCTTTTTAGCATCATGGACATGCTGAAGTCAGTACAGATGTCTTTGATATTTTGTCTAGACATTATGTTCAATCTCCTCAACCTCTGATTGGATCACCTTCTAAGGAACACAAAGCAATAAGAAAATCTTTATTAGAGACCAGAAACTAAGCTATTGTAGAGTTGAAAGCAAAAATAAATTTCTCTTGTCTTTTTTCAATGGTTTGTCACTTTCATATCAAACCTCTAGAGAAGAGACCTGAGAATCTTCTTCTTGATCAGCCTCACAGTCTAAACATTTTGTTGGATTAAAGTCTAATAAGCCGTCGATGAAAGCGGGTGTTTCCACTAGCTAGTATTTTCTACATATAATAAAATTCTCATTATAATTAGGTGCTTCCATATTCTTAATATATGATGTTGATTTTAAAGATTTTATTCAATTATACCTTAATTAGACTTAAATTTTCATCTCAAGAAATGTCACCTTCCATAAACACATGTTACCTTATCATGTTGAATCATCATCTATGACAAATAAGGAATATTTTATTGACTTGCATAACAAGTTAAATCCTATTTCTTATAATTCTCTAGAACAAAATCCTAAAACCTTAAAAAATTCCTATCATAGAATCCACATATAATGAAACACAAAATCTTCTAGAGTCGAATCCAACTGGTGTATCATTAAGAATATGGCATTCACCATCACATCTCAAATACTATGTATGTGTTTCCTTTCATGATGCACTAAATCAATCATCATCGATTACTTTTTATCCATTGTCTAATTACATTTCTTATTCTCAATTATCTCTATCTCATTATCATTATAGTTTGCCAATAGCCACAAAAATTGAATCCAAGTCATACAATGAGGTTAGCAAATTTGATTGTTGGAACCAAGCAATGAAAGTTAAGCTTGATGCAATTGATAAGATTGGAACTTGGAAAATTGTTGACCTTCCCTGCCTAACATCAAACCAATAGGTTGCATAAGGGTCTATAAAATCAAGCACAATTCTAATAAAAGCATTGAAAGACTTGATGCTAAAGGCTACGATCAAATAGAAAGTTTGAATTATTCTGATACATATTCACCAATTGCAAAACATACTACAGTCAAATTGGTCATAGCTCTTGCATCAATAAACAATTGGCATCTTACATTTCTTCATCGTGAACTACAAGAAAATGTTCATACGATCATTCCACCTGGTGTTACTTCCTTCAAACCAAATCATTCCACCTGGTGTTACTACTCCCTTCAAACCAAATCAAATATGCATGTTCATCAAGTCATTATATGGTATTAAGCAAGCTACCAGGCAATGGTATGAGAAGTTCACATCCCTCCATATTCATCGTGGCTACATTGATGATGTCATCATAGCTAGAAAATTTCTTTATGAATTTAAAGTAATCAAAGGTGCTCTTCGTCAAGCCTTCAAAATTTCAAAATTATATGTATTGGCATCCTCAAATATTTTGGGAATTTCTTATTACACTATATAATTCAAAAGAACTCTTTGAAAAACCAAAATTTCCCCTCTATTTCCAAAACTATATTTCTGGACGAATCTTTTAGATCACAAAAGCCTGCATTTTTGGTTCCACCCTAGAATATATATATATATATATATATATATATATATATATATATATATATTATAAATTTCATTATTTATTATGATTTAATAAATATTTTAAACATCATTTAATTAAGTTCATGATAACGCTCTACTTATATTATATAGCTTATCATTTACAATCTTTTTTATAAAATTAAAACTATAATATTGAAATAGGTACAAGAGAAATATGATAACCATATAGGTAAATTGATCTTCCTGATTCTCATCTTCATTTCCCACATGTTACTTTTAATAAGTGAATCTTCGCATAATTTTCGTCTTTCATGTTTATGATTTTTTGGTTTTCAATGGAGTTTTCTTTTTCCTTTACATGGGATGGGGGAGGATGGAAATTGGTTTGGAGAATCAAATCAATGTTTAAAGGATCAAAAGAAGAAAGAATGAAATTACATTGCTTAAAAACTTCAAAGAGAAGGTTAGATTCAATCAATCATCACCAATTAACTGCTCCTTCTTATGCACAATCTTCATACCTTCTGAACTTGGCAAATCTCTTCTTCATCTCCTAATGAACTTTGCAAGTCTCTTCTTCATCTCTTACTAGGTGCATTTTTCTATTTATGTGTGTGTTTTAGTTGTAGCTTGAAATTTTGTTTGAATTGAATGATTTGGGTATGTTTTGGCTTCAATTGGGTGGGAAGAGTTTCATGAAATGATTAAATGGATTTAATTTATGGCAAATATTGACTTACTTCAAGTGAAGGATTCTTTGTTAAAAATATCCAAGATTTAACCTAGGGATTTTCATAATTGAAATTTGTTAATGAAAGGATTAAAATCTCGTTGGCTGAAGTTGAAGTGGATACCGCGAGTACATACAAGATACCGATACACAAATCGATAAGGTATCCGTGCAACTTCAAAACCTAAACAAATCAATTAAGGTATGGCATAGTTACTAATAAACACATTGATACAAAATTGAATTAAAGGCATTTATCAGCGAAAAATCCAAAAGTTAATCTAGGCCTCCCATGAATCAATATAAGAACCTAAAATAACTATGATTATGAAGGCCTAATAGCTAATAAAAAATTAACAATAAATCAATTGTTAATTCAGTAAATGTGGTTAGAAATAAATCACGTCATCAGAAAGGAATGTTCATCTCATCCACAACAAATGTTGTGTAGGAAGGTGTCCTAAGATTTATTCCAAATTCATCACTTGGAAGTAGTAATTTAACATAGATAATCATAATACTTAAGTATATTGTTTGAAAAATAATTAAGATTATTGAACAAAAAAGTCAAGAATTGTAGATTCAGAAACATAAAAATATATTTAGCATCACAATTCAGATCAAGTGTTGGATTATATATTTAACTTCATCATTATCTACAATCTACAATAGCTAAACAAAATTAAAATTCATCAATCAATGGGAAAATTTAGTTCCCCGACGTCCAATTACAGCATTAAAATTACAGTAGTGGATAGCGAGGGGAACACAACTATAGGCTTCAATTAAATATTACAAACACAATTTAAAAAGTGCAAGCATTAATAAAATTGAGATCTGAAGCCACAAATTTCAACAAATTTAAAACTAAAAAATTAGAACAAAATCATGAAAGAGAACTCGGGAGAAGAACCAGTCAACTCAGCCCCTTAGATGTTCAATAAATCTGCGATCATTCCCGCAAATCATTACAGGTCTGTTAAGAACTCATCACTGTTAAAACCAGTCATTCTCCAGATCCAAAAAAAAAAATCAAAGATCTAATTTACGATTGAAAATTTAGTTGTTTTCACGTTCTCCCACAACCAAGAAAAGGATTGTGAAAGTGAAATTGAAAATACAACACATATAACTATTGCTTCAAGGGAACGAGTCTAATGGGAACTGAAATTATCCCAACGACCAGATAGTGAAGCCTATTTCAATTGGATGATGAATTATTATATGCTAAAGGAATAACTGATAACTAGTCGAGAACAAAGTGAAGAATTTTTTGAAACAAAATTGATATCCTAATTTCAGAGAGAGAGGGTAAGAGAATCGGAAGTGAATGAGCGCGGCGCTTGAAGTGTGTGGCCTGTTTGGTTGGTTATATAATGAAAATCATGAGTAATCTGACGGCTTGTAAACGAGTAATCGGACGGCGTATATTGTTTAAGACTTCATCAAACCCTAATAGCGACTGAATCGGGAATGTAGTTGGGTCTGTGTAAGACTGCTAAAAAGCCTAGAGAAAACAAAATAGAGAATTTCATTTTAAACAAATTGGGCCTTCCTTTGCACCTCTAGTTTTGCTAATAAGCGTTATATTATTTTTTTTAAATATCAACAAAAAAATTGAATACAATTATGTGGAATTGGTAATTTCTCATTCCACCCTTATATTTTTTTTTAGATCCTACGTGAAATTCTCAAAATATCCTTTATTTTCAGAGATATACTGACACATCAAAAATTATTTTTTCCACAATAAAATTCAGAGATACACAACCTAAGGGATTTTCAAGATCTGTTCAGAGATGCACCTCTGAATTCGCTTTCTTTCAATTCAAAAAACTAGTTTGGAGATCTTAGATTTAATCTATATTTTAGGAATATCTTTTAGATTTAATCTATATTTTAGGAATATCTTTTTAGAGGATATTATTATATCTTTTTATATCTTTGTTAAAGGATATTTATGATTTTATTTTGTGTATAAATAGCCTAGTGAGATAGTTCAATGTAATTCATAATAAATCATTATTCCTTATTTTTGTAGTCGTCAATTAATATATTCTTTTTGCCTTTCATCTCTTCCTTGTGCACCAACAATTGGTATCTAGAGCTCCGGTTCGAAATCAACGGGAAAAAAGGGAAACACGAGAGAACAGTGAGGTGTTGTGTGATAATCATTATTTTTTATTCTGCGAATTTGGGAAACACTGATTCTGATCCTGAGTTTCTGCATAAATTGCACAAGGTAGAAGATGAATGGAAACGGCGGCGATGTCCATTCCAAGCTTCCAGTATTTGATGGCAAAAACTAGAATCGTTAGAAGATCCAGATGCGCGTGTTACTTGGTTCTCAAGATGTGTTACATCTTGTCACCGATGGCTATGATCTGTTAGAAGCAGAGGCACAGAAGATAACACATAGGGCGCTGAGGAAGAAGGATCAAAAGGCATTGTTCTATATCCATTAATGTGTGGATGCAAATGTGTTTGAGAACATTATTGGTTTTGAAATAGCAAAGGTTGTGTGGGACACAACCTTTGCTATTTCAAAACCAGCAATATTACGGTGATGACGCGTCAGTGAAGAAGGTGAAGTTTCAGTCTCTCAGAAAGCAATATGAGAATCTTAACATGAAGGACAACGAGAAGGTTTCTCAATACATCTCTATAGTGCTTCTTATCACTGATGAGATGAAAGCTTGTGGAGAAACTCTTTCTGAACAAGTAATTATTGAGAAGATCTTGAGATCTTTAACTTTTTAGTTTGATTACATTGTGGTAGCAATTGAACATTTCAAAGATCTGAGCACCATGAGAGTTGAAGAGCTGCAAAGTAGTCTAGAGGCGCATGAGTTGCATATGACTTCGAGAACTTCTGAGAGGGAAGTAGAGCAGCAGGCTCTGAAAGTAACTTCTGGTAAGAAGTATCAGAAGCAGACTTGGTCAGAAGCCAGGAAGAAAACTAAGGGTGGTCAAAGGTCAGAAGCTTCAAACTCTTATAGGCAGAAGAATGTCCATAAGGGAAAGGAGAAGTCTGACAAGAAGAATGTCCAGTGTTACTGTTGCAAGAACTTTGGCCACTATGTCAAAGATTGTTGGTCAAACAAAGAAAGAAAGTCAGAAGAAGCAAATATAGCCAGAGGAGAGTCAGATGATGAACCTGTGCTATTGTTGGCTTCTGAACCTAATGATCTGAGTTCATCAAAATGGTGGTATATGAACACAGGGTGTTCAAACCATCTTACTAGAAACAAGAAATGGTTGGTTGATTTTGACTTTGGGAAGAGTACAAAGATCAGATGTGTTGATGATAAATACCTCAATGCATAAGGTATGGGAAATGTTAGAATCATTTTAAATAATGGGAAGGCAACAGTTATCCAGAATGTATGGTATGTACCTGACATGAAAAGCAATTTGATGAGTGTGGGACAATTGGTTGAAAAAGGTTTTTTGGTTACCATGAAGGATAATCTTCTGGAGCTGTATGACTGTAATCAGAAGCTGATTATAGAGTCAGAATAGGGAAGGAACAAAACATTCAAGGTGAACGTTAGAGTTGTAGACTCTGAATGTCTTAGTGCAACAAGTGTTGTCAAGGAGAGTGAGTTGTGGCACAGAAGATTTGGTCATCTGAATTTCAGAAGTTTAGGGCATCTGAAATCAAAGAATCTGGTACATGGAGTTCCTACAATCAAGAAGCTTGAAAAGGCATGCAAGGTGTGCATGGAAGAGAAGCAACCAAGATTATCATTTGCATCAGAAGTAGCTCCGAGAGCAAAACATGCCTTGGGAGTAGTACATTATGATGTGTGCGATCCTTTTCCAGTAACATCAACTAGAGGGAATAAACATTTTGTGTCATTTGTTGATGAGTTCACCAAAATGACATGAGTATCTCTCATAAAGTTCAAACACAAGGTGTTTTCTAAATTCAAGAAGTTCAGGCTGAAGGTTGAGAATCAAAGTGGCCAGACTCTGAAGATTCTTAGAACTGATGGTGGTGGTGAGTATAACTCCACAGAATTCAGAAGATTTTGTGAGGGGAATGGAATTGAGCATGAGGTTACTGCTCCCTATACTCCTTAACACAATGGTCTTGCTGAAAAAGAAATCGTACTTTGCTTGATATGGTGAGAAGCATGCTGAAAGAGAATAAGCTTCCTCATACTCTGTAGAGAGAAGCTGTTGTAACTGCGTGTTATGTGCTCAACAGATGTCCAACAAAGAAATTGAAGGAAATAGTTCTTATTTAGAAGTGAACTGGAGATAAGCAAAGTGTTAGTCATCTGAAAGTGTTTAGTTTTGTATGTTACAAACATGTCCCAGAAGCCAAAAGATAGAAGTTGGATGATAAAAGTAAAGTGATGTTGCTGGTGGGGTACCACAATACATGTCCGTACAAACTTTATTGTCCAGAAACTAACAAAGTTGAGTTCAGCAAAGACGTCATTGTAAAAAAATCAAAAGTTTGGAATTGGGAAAGGTCTCATCCTGACTCTGATGAGAGAACTACTGAAGAAAAGTCAAAAACACGTGTTTCTGAAGCTGGTAAAGACTCTTACTTCGAAGAAGATACAAAAGGAGAAGATGATTCTGACTTTGACTCTGATTCTAATACCAGTTTCCACTCTTTCTCCGATTAGGATCATCTCAGTAAAACCAGCTAAGGAGCTTCTAATCAAATGATTGAAAAATAGACCAGATAGAGTACCCAAAAACATGTCCACCAACTCCCTATCAGACAGAGGGGGTTGTACTCTTCCTGCTAGGTCTCTCCACTTTTAGGCATAGTCTTTAAAACCCTCGCTTGAACCCATGGACATACTT